TCTTTTGTCCCGCATTTGCATTGAAATGAGGTACTCAGAACTTAGTATCAATTTTTCTAATATAAGCTATCATAACCAAACTTGAGATGAAATCTGATCTTAAAGTTCCACATGCTCCTTCAGCCTAACTGTGACACGTGTTTCCAGCTAAAAAAATTTTAGCCGATGCATTGTACACTTGATAAGCATTTTGAAAAAAAAAAATATTGCGACGAAATTCTTTGAAAAAAAATTCTATATTTAGTTGGAAAATAGTCAAACTTTCCATCGATGTTTAGAATGTTTCCAAAACAGTTTGCAGTCTATCAGCCTAATATATCTCGGACAGTGAAATAAATTTACCCTAGTCGATCAAGGTGTGTTATCTTGTAAGATCTTGCAAGATTCTTGCAAATTTGGGTTATCTTGCAAGATATTGCAAGATCTTTCAAGAGTAAGGTTATCTTGCAAAAATCTTGCAAGATTCTTGCAAATGAGGGTTATCTTGCAAGATATTGCAAGAGTGAGATTATCTTGCAAGATTTTTCAAGAGTAAGGTTATCTTGCAAAAATCTTGCAAGATTCTTGCAAGATCTTGCAAGATACTTGCAAGATTTTGCCAGATAACCATCTATGAAAGTTTTTCACAAAACCGTGCACCAGAAGAACCATGGACACGCGATTTGACTATGGTCGCAAAAATTTTAAGTTTAGACAAAAAAGTTTGGACACAAAATTAGATCTAACAAACTACTAAATTATTGCTGTATATGCTTCTACAATTTTCATATGTAAGCATTTTTTTATTTTTCGTAAGGTAAATACTTTCAGGTTGTCATTATAATTTATGCATTTCAAATTAAGATTTTAAAAATAAATTTTTTTGACTTTGTTGGAATCTTTCATCTAATTTTGTAACTCTAGCGATTAAATTTCAACTTTTTTTATTTGTTAAAATTTTGACGAACTGAGTCATGTAGTTTGAGATAGAGTGTGTTACGTTCACATAAATCCGACAAGTATTTATTTTCATCTTATTATAAGCTAGATTTTTCCTTTTTTCTGTTGATTTGTACAAGTATTTGAATTTTTCTTCTTGTTATTGGTACTGCTTTCTTCTTTCACAAACGCTCTAGGTGGTTCACTTGTGTAACATATCTTTAAAGATCTTGCCTGATTTAAGTTTATCCTTAAAGGAGGGTATCTTGTAAGATTTTGCAAGAATCTTGCAAGATCTTTTAAAGAGATGAATCGACTTTATTCTGAATTATTCTGAATTATTCTGAATTGACTCGCTAGTAATACTTTCTTAGTGGTTAATGCTAGTGAGCCATTTTTTTAGTCTTGTTTTCTATTTTTTTTTTTTCAAAAAAATAAAAGGTTAAAATTTTTTGGCAATCGTATGTTCAACTTATCAAAAGGTTCTCACTGTATCCATTTCTTACAAAAACTTGGCGTTTTTGTTTCCGTTTAGTTCCAATTTTGACAAAAACTCAAAATCTGGGTTCTCAGAAGTGTTTTTTTCTATGCATTTACGGAGCGACCTCCATAACAAAAAAGCTCAACATTCAAAAAAAATTGTTTAGAAAATTGTAACTTTTTCTATCGAAAAATCAATTTTGTACTCGAAGAAAATTTTTCTTAAAAAGTGTTGCATGCAATTTTAGGTTTTTGATCTGCAACTTCCATTCAACTTTTTGTCCAGTTGCAAAAAAAAATCAAAAGACCCTGTTCGTTTCAAGTTATGTTTCTTGCGTTGGTACCAGACACTTCGTCTTCTTACTGATAATTTATGCTTGGGAAAAAACTTCAGAAGAACTTTTCAGCGCCAATTGCAAAAGTTTGAGCTTTTGTTCAGTTCGAGATACCACTAGGCATGGATTTCTGATAAATGCATCAATGGTTGTGATGTGATTTTATTATATTCACGCATTTTTTTAAATGAAAATCAGGTGAGAACCACAAGGTAAGAGCTGGAATTCGTAGTCACAATGTCAAAAGGTTTTCAAAAAAAGTTGAGCATTTTGACAGTTTGTAGGTCGACAAAATTGATTTTTCGAGCTCCTCTAAAACCTTTAAAACCCATTCTGCTTTGCAGCAAAATACTTTTGCTATGTCTTCTAGAAGACCAAAAAAAAGTTTGTGTTCAATTTGGCTTTTCGAACTTCCCAAAAACTGTAGTACGAAAACTTGCAACATAAGACAATTCGCAATAACAGACAACTCGCTCCAAACGACTTTTATGTTGTCTTTAAAAAAATGAACAGTTCTATTTGGTTGCGAGTTGTCGCGTTACTTACCGAAATGACGTTTTTAACCCTTTTCTTGAAATTTTTGGCCAAAATAATCAATCTTTGCTCTCACTTTAAAAATTCTTGCAAACTTCACTAAAAATTGCTTTTTTTCAGCCCAATCGGTTTGAAAATTAATGCTTGGTTAGACACCTCATCATTAATTAGCTCCACATTTTTTAAAATCATTTTTTGTCATTTTGCTGTTTTAATGAGCAAATCGCTCCTTTTGATTAAGCTTCAATAGCTGTTTCAACAAAGGAGAAATTTGAAAGAGCTCAGAAAAAAAGCCAATTTTAAATATCAAAATTAATTGCGCTTAATCCTCCAAACTTATTGCCAAACTTTCTCTTTTACTTTAACTGCTTTCAAGTTCTATTGTATTTTTTTTTCGCGCCGAGCGAAAACTTGGAAACCATAAACATATATAACTTTTCAAAGATAAAATGTATGAACCCACGCAAAAAAACTTCTTTGAGCGCTGCATCTTTAAAAATGCATGTGACAAATAGCATGATTAAAACCACGAGATAAAAGAGGCAACATTTTTGTACTTATTAGTAAATATTTCATCTGTCTAATTAAAGAGAACATTTTCACATGGCGCAATGGGATAATTAACGCATTTCTAACACCCACTTGTTCCGAAAGATGAAAAACTCTTCAGCTTTTTGACACACTAGTGGACAAAATTACGCGCTAACTCGATTTTACTCTTTAAAACACCTGTTTTCAAAGTTCATTTTGAACACATTTCCTTCGAGATTCAGTACAGTTTATACGCAGACCAAAAGCAAATGATAATGACTTCTTGGTCTCGAAAAAGGTTGGATTTCTATTCGTTCTTCCTATTCACTCCCAGTGGTCAAATTGTGCTGGTCTATTCCGTAAGGTTAGGGGGTTTAAAGATTGCCAATATGGTCAATTTGGGACAATTAAAGCGCGATATATTTCTCGCTATTAACGCGTAAGCGGAGATTTAATCCGTCTTATAAATCGTCTGAATTTGAATTGAGGCGTGCTCTTTGATCTTTTAAATACTTAGCTATATGTTTCATGTATTGCTTTGCATAGCATGTGGAGAGATGATTTTCGCAAAAAGATTCTGGAATTTTTTTTTTTAAAGTTCCATCACTTTTTTTCTAAAGCGAGCACAACTCTTTAGACTTCAAGGGACAGCCAGAACACTCAGGGCTTCGCCCCTGATACGAGCAGTCGTGTTTATTTTCTCTGCAATGATGGTAATAGCTGCTTTTTAGGGCCTTGATACCGATATTCAGCTGGATTTATACGTGGTGTTTTATGGTGCTTCAAAATAAATGTTTTTAGTGGTTCAGAATAAAAGTCCCGGGTAGACCAAAAATGCTAATTAGGCTTTACATAAACTGAGCCTTTGAAAAAAAATAATCATACAAATTTCATACGTTTTGCTTGATCATACAAATGTCATCATATGGTGTCATCGAATTTTCAAAATTATTTTCCTGTTTTGGCATATAAGTCGGTGTATCGTTGTAAACAAAGAAGAAAAACTTTTGCAAAAAAATACTAGTCATACAATTTTTATATCTAGAAATTGTATGACCAAGATTTTTTGATGGCTACTAAGTAATTTAGAAATTGCCTCAAAATTTTTTTCGTTTTTTTTTCAACCGCAAATCGAATTTTGTACATTTTGTAATGTATTTTTTTTGTGTGCATAACGTAGTTCTGGATACGCAATGATTGGATTTTTTTCCGTTTCTCTGGATAATTTTTTTCAAAACGGGTAAAAACTCTAATTTTTTGGTATGGCATGTTTATTTATGACTGTTTGAAAAAAGTCTGAAAGTTTAAAAATTCAATTTAAAAAAAATCATTATTCAGTAACCAATTTTGATGCTTTCAGTAAAAATAATCAAGTTTGATACTTTTAGTATATCATTTGAGTAATAAATTTCTTAGACAATTCAGGTCGTTTCCAGTGCATTGTAAATGCATGACAATCAAACCTTTTGAGTAAACCAAGTTTGAAATACATGACAATCAAACCTTTTGAGTAAAATGCATGACAATCAAAGTTTCGAGTAAACCAATTTTTTAAAAACCTTTTTTTAGTTTATGGGAAAATGCTAGTCATACAATTTTCATATATGAAAAATCGCTAATCATAGACCTTTCATGCAATTTTTTGTACTTATGGAATTGCATGAAAAGTGTCTGATTAGCATTTTTCATAAATGAAAATTGTTTGACTAGCATTTTTGGTCAACCCGGGGTTTTGCTTCACTTTCATGGACATGTTCCGACCACGGAAGTTTAAGTTGAGAAGTTCAAATGGTAAGGAAAAAGTCAACAAAGTTCAAAATATCAATGATTGTCTACTATCTAATCCAGTTCCTTCCCACAATCTTTATTAGTGGTCGTCGTAAAAATTACAAAAATTGTTAAGTGGAACAATCATTTCGGGTGTCCGTTTCGATGAACTGTTGGTGTTTTAAGAATTAAAAATAGACAATAATTGTAAAAATAGACAAATAATTGTTGATATCAATTTGATGCAAGTTTCATTTCCTATACGCAACAAAGGAACTCTGCTGTTTTTGCTTCCATGATTATAATCTAAATTGAATTGCATCCTAGCTTCAAGTATAATTTTGATCATAAGTGATAAGGATATAATCAATGTCGTAGTCTCAACGTAGCTGATATCTTTTCTCAATTTTAAGTTGGGACTCTATTGGTGTTTAGGAATCAAGTACTGTCTAGAAGTTATTGACACTGGGGGCTCATGTGAGTTCCCAGCGATGACAACTCTCGCAATCCGAGCGGCAGACGCAATAGTGTTCGTGTACGCAATAGACAACCGAGACAGTTTCGAGCGACTGGAAGGTCTCCGAGAGCAAGTGTTTTCCGAGAAGGAAGAAGACGAAGTGACAGTACATGTGCTTGCCAACAAATCCGACTTAGATTCAACGCGACAGGTCGCGTTCAGCGAAGCCGAGTTGAAAGTTAAAATAGGGTGGGATATTTCCCTATCGGAAGTTTCGGCCAGATCAGGCGAAAGCCTTCAAAGCAAACTGGCTGAGATAATCCCGCCCACTTTTCTGACTGGAATTGGGCCAGGCGAAGGAGGCAGTGGGAAACGGAACAGTGGAGGCAACGATAACGGAGTGCATAGTAGCGGAGGGATGGGAAAGCGAAAATCGATATCGGAAGCGTTGTCGAAGCCGTTCCAGTTAATGGGAAGTCGAGCCAGTCGGAGGCGAGATACGACAGTAGCGGACTTGGCCGCAAATCAATCTTCAGCTGCAAAACCCCAAGCTAGTTCACGCTTGTCTATAGGATAACCCAGAACAGTAATTTTTATGTCACTTTATGTTTCATGTTTCGCGGTTTTTCCCAACCCTCACAATCCTTCGAAACTTCATTGCAAGGATTCGGGAATTTGACTGCGAATAGTTGTTGTTTGTGTTCAAATAAATAATTTCAAGAATTGCAGACGAATTTGATTTTGTAACATTAATAGCTGTGATTTGTAAATGTTGCAATATTGCGATGTAGTGTTCCTAGAGATTTAATTTTATTTTTCATTCAGTTAAACAAGTAATTTTGCTGCAACAACAACACAAACAAAAAGTTTGGAAAAAACTAAAAAAATATTGAGTTGTATGTTTATAGTAACATTTCCTAAATTACTTTTTTTGTTTCGAATCTCGAGAATCATTTTACGAACAATTCTTTTCTATATTTTAGGTGCTGCTTTTCAATCGCTATTCAGAGTCATATTAAGTTAGAGTTAACGTATTTTCTGTTTCTGATCAGCCAGTTTGTAGCTTACTTCTAAACTTCAGTTTGGTTTTTGAGTTAAAATGTCTACATCAATTTCGTATCAGACTTTGCATCCCAAATAATGTCGGAATATCAATTGATAAAATTATTTTCTGAGTTGACGATATTTGAAATTTGTTTTTCGGAGAGAGATTCTAAATCTAAGAGGCTTAGTGAATCATTGCATCTGGCATGGAGTCTGTAGGCTGTAGCAGGCAGATGTAGATGCTATAAAAAACAACCATAGCCTTGAAGCTGAAGTTTTCTTTGCTAATCTGACATGAAATCAATGAAAAATCTTTAAATAATTATTCTAGTCTTATGTTGGATGGCAGTTCATAGACTACAGTGTACTTAATCTTTTCCCCAATCAAATCAATGTGAGCTTTAGTCTAATGGATCGTTCTCAAGTTGTTTTTGCTCAGAACAATAGTTTTTGCTTTTAAAGCCATGGCGAGAAAAAAATAATTTGGGCGTGTTTTGAACCATATGCAAATAAATGCCAGAAAGATGGGGTATAATGATAAATTATATATTAGCCCTTTAAGTCTTGATTTGGGCTACAATAAAAAAAACTAGAAAATTTTATTGAGCGCTGAGAAAAAAATAAGGGTGAACTCAATGTTTGCATAGGTTGGTTAGGTGGAAATTGTACATAGTCCACCCTACCAACCCCCGAAATGACGAATACATCATAAGAATTTGAGAAAAAAAAAGATGTTTTAGAAGCGTGCTCATACAGGTTGAGAGTGGCAAAAGTGAACTACTCATCCCTCTGATTCTTTCATTGTGCGCATATTCTCTTTCGGTACTATTTAGACAAAAATTGATTTTTTGCTGCTTGGAAAAGCAAGGAAAAACGTGCTTTGGTTTATCCTATGAATGACAATAATTTTCGAACAATGCCTAGTCTCGCATATTGCGTGGTCTTGCTCCCAGCACCGTCTTACGATCAAACGAACAGTTCCCGCTTCCCAAGTTCTGTTACAATTCATGAAGTTCTGGTAAATATATAAGCTGAGAATAAAACCCGTTCACTTCTATGAAAAAAAAAATAGGGACTATAAAACCATAGCTCTATATTGTTCAGACTACAGAATAGGAGAAAAAAATTGTTCGGCTGTTTTTTGCACGAAATATTAGGTCAAATTAGGATAAAATATTTATATTGTTAGGATTTAATTACACGTTTACAAAATTCAGCAATGCTCAATTCGAAATATGCCACTTTGGAGCCTTTTAAAAATTGGAACCTGATCTAGACTACATTTTATGATTGGATAATTTAGATATTTTACCAATGTAAAGTATTTAATATTAACCAATCATGATCCATCTAACTAACAACCCACTTATTTGTAAGTGCTGAAGTTACTTGTAATTTCAGCACCAGAGAGATTTGAATTTAACTTAGAAATTAGTTGGACTCTCCCGAGCACTTCAGCAGCCGCAATAAACCAGTATACCCTAGATCTATTGAGCCTAGCAGAGACTAGTTAAACAACCTGAGACTAGATAGTATAAGAGTAAGATTAGGATCGGTATTAGACTAAGAAGTTGCACGAATCTATCCGGCCGAAAATAAGATAGCGTGACGAGCAGACGGTGTACCCTATCCGAAATTACTCTATGAGTTAACCAACTCGGTCATAACTCATCTGGTGCGACCATAAGTCTCGAACAAGACCTTAATAGCTTAGAATTAACCAAAATAGATTAGAAATTAGACAAAAACATTTACAAAATGTTATACGACAATAATTTAATCGAAATGTCTCTACGACTCAATAGATCAGAGCCAATATTCCGAACCATAACAGAACTACCCGGAATTGGAAGAAGACCTCGAACCAGAGACGACATACGACAAAGTAGAAACTTGCCATATAGCTATATGATAGTTAGGCAAAAACCAGAACAAACTTTTATATTTAGAATACTACTGGCAATGAATTTAGATTTTCATTTGCAAACATAAAACCTTGAAGTTAATCTTCAAAATCATTTCAGGCGCTAAAAAAAATTATTAATATACAATAACGATTGATAAAAAGATCTAAGATCGTTTTCCTAAAACTCTGCAGTAATATACAAAACATGTTTGAAAAATATTTATTGAAAAATAAAAAATAAAAATTAGTAGCATGACAATAAATGGTTAGTAATCATAAATCATCCTGTTGTTCCAGCTCCATCATCTAAAACATAACAGCAATCATAAACCCACTAATATCATCAAAACACTAAATCTTTCCTTTACACACATTTAAAATTTTATTAAAACTTAAATTCACTTAATTTTAAAACCAGATCATCAAGGCTTATCCTTGGATCTTAAATCATTTTCTACTTAATTAAAATTCAAAATTGATCATCAAGGCTTATCCTTGGATCAAACAGAACAACTTTGTTCTCCCCCACCCACTTAATTAGTGTCTAACGACCTCAAACGTCGATTCACTACCCAACCCTTTCTAAAGACCTAAGACTAATAGAAACTTTTAAACAAAACTAATCATTCAAATTAGGATAAACAGTGAAGAACTTCGGTTATTCACCCTTCACTTGACCCCCCCTCTTACCAGACCCAGGATAAATCTTAGACTTAGTAAGTTTAAAATAGTATCTAACGAACTACTCGCGTTCTAATTATACCTGAACCTTGTGGATCGATTTACTATTCTCCAACCCTTGAACACAATCACTACCCCTAAGTAAGATTAAGTAAGTTAACACCTTAACTTATACTAGCCACGAGAAAGTAAAAAATCATTCTTCGGAATCGATATACTTTTCTCTCCAACCCTGAACAAACAGACCCAGGTTAAGCTAACCAAAAAATCGTAAGAACTAACAGTTTAAGAAATTAGAAACAATTTAACAACCTTTTGCATCCGTCATCCTAAACCTTATGTCATTTAAAAACCTAGGAAATAAACAAACAATCGTTTTACACAATTGTGAAATAGATAACAAAAAATACGACCTTGTAATCACACCTCATACACAAACAGTTGGATACATTCGAACAAAACGACAAACACTAAAAAGAAAAATAATAACGAAACAAAGACAAATAACACGAAAAAGATTTTCAAAAAATCGAAACGCATTTTCAGAATCAGAAACCAACAGTTTAGACGAACTTTACAAACTAAAAGAATCAATAGATAAAAATTGCCCACTTCACGATCAATTATATTTTTCTGACTCAGAAACAACTTCAAATTCATCAAAAAGAGGAAAAAGAAGAATAAAAAAGCAGTATAAACACAAACCAGTACATTTATACAATTGGAATCAACCAATTCGACACATTAATAATTACATATTAACAGTCATCGAACGAAAAAATGAGCTCAACGCACACCCCAGGTGAAGAAAGTCCAGATGATGATGAAATCTTTCCTTTTATAGTAGATGCAACCACTGATAGAGGACAGCATATATTTTGCAAAAATTTACTATTAAATTTATTTGAACCCGGAATCAGTCCATGTAAAACAGAGTTCCCAGATGTAAAAATCAAAAGACAAATCATAGACCACTACTTAAAAGATATATGCAACATAACACAACAGTATGGAATCTACTCCATAGAATTCACCTCACCAAACCATAATAATAGAAAATATACAATTCAAACAGACGATCTTGATTTAGAATTTTCAAAAGTTTTTTCAGAATATATAAAAAGCATCCAATATCATAACTCACAAAGAGCAAACTCCATATTCACCAATGAAGTTTTCGCAATAATATATAGTTATATTTCGATATTAGAAAACGAAATCCCAATAACAAATGTCTCACCGACAGAAACATCTAAACATTTAAGAGTACGACATGAAATCACACTAGTCTCTAGTTATTTAAACATCATTAAAGAAAATTTCACGAAAGACGACGTTTCACAACATACAAAACACGATCTACAAAAAATTTTGGCATGGTTCATAATAGATTATTTCACACACAATATTGATTTAATTGCACAAGCAAGAAAAAATTTTAGACCCCAAAACTCGAACGATGATACCGCTATCACAGAACAATCAGATTATGTTTGGGACCCCGAATGGTCTCATCCCGCATTTATAAGCTTCCCACAATCAATCTCAAGTCAAGCAATAAGTACGATATCTTACATAAGAGATTATGTAAAAGTAATACCATTAACCATTGATGCAACACCATTAAACTATAATACATTTTTGCCCGATACACAAAATAATAGTTTAAACTCTACAGTCATACACAATGAAAACCTCAATGGAACTAGGAATCTTACTCAACAAGATATCCAGACACCATCACACTTCATAAATGAAGAAATTGTACACACAACAACTACACAACAAAGTATTTCACCAATACGCCCAAATTTAACAACACCAAGAAATACAAATCCTTCACAAACACAGGTAACCTTACAATCAACCGTTAAACCTTCGGTTGCCCCTAAATATTCACATATGGATTACCAAACATACAGACCCATGACAATACCATCAAAAACACGCAAAACATTCACTAGAAACAACTTTACAGACCATAATTATAATTATACACATCCATAAAAAACATATAATCAACCACAAAGAAATTTTAACCAATATACAAGATCTCGAAATTGGGATAACCCAATGACCCAACCTAATTCAATAAATTTCCTAACAAATCCTCCACAGGATCACAGTGAAAATTACCCATTTTTTCAACAAAATAAAAATAAAAAACAGACATCTTATCAAATGGATTATTTATCCTCAGATGATGATTTCTTACAACCAGATATATTTGCACCAAATAATCAAGAAAATCGTAGACAAGGAATACAGAGAACACGTACAAATCATAGAAATTTTTCTCCACAACCAATAGATGCACAACATCAACAACCAATTCAACAACAAAATCTAATTAATACACAATCTTTTCAACCAAACCAACAACAAAATCCAATGACTGCACACTCGTATCAAGCATCACAAATGCAAAATGAAATACCACTCCCATATTATCTCCAACAACATGAAATAACAAGAAACCAACTTTCAAATTTTTCTCAAATGCCAAATGCAGCAGAATCATTACAAATGACAATGAATCCATAC